TGTGGACCAAGGCCATCATTCTCATCATCATTGCCATCATCATCTGGATCATTGTCCAGATTTCCACCAGGGGTATCATCATCATTATCATCATTGTCATTGTCATCCAGATCTGGTTTGCCCATAGGGGCTAAGGCTGGAGTCATGTAGGGATTTCCAGGTGTTGATGACTCAGGAGTTCTGAGATGCTTCTAGCAGTAGCATGCTGGCTAACACAGGTGCTGAGAGAAGCTATTGAAGGTTTCGATGATAGGAGTAGAATCCCAGCAGGCAGAAACTAGTCCAGCCACTCAGAGAGGGTTTGTTGTTTTGGTAGGAGCCATGATAGATGTAAATATACTTGGAAAGGTGTGAGTTTGAATATACTGTTAAGGTCGTGTGCTCAAGGGGGTTGGATAACAAGGGCTTGGCCTCAGCTCATATGCTGTGCCCCTTTCCTGAGTATATGCCCTTAATTTCTGGGGGCTAGAATAGTCATCCGGAATTTCTGGGATTTGACTAGGGTAGACAATGGACAGTCCAGATCTGAAACATGAGATAAATCTGACAGATGTCCAGATGTTACTTGGACAAGCAGATAAGGCTAATCCAGACAAAGTCTGGACTAGAAACTAACAGGGGATAGACTACCCTAAGGTAGAGTCAGAGATGTAGTCTAGGTGTCATATCCCATATGCCAGACATAGATCCCATCATATTCCCACAGTCTTCTGGAGCTGTTTCTGGACCCCATGTCCAACTCATTCCTGGATCCCCTATCCTGTCCACCCTATGCACATTCCGTCCAGCAAGACATCTGGACTTTACCTCCTCTTGGATTCAGGACTACATCCACCACCTCACATATCTCAGTCCTGTTTCTGCCCTGCCTTCCTGATCCCCAGATCTCCAGACCTATTCCCACCCTCATTCTGAGATCCTGCCTATCCCCATTTAGGCATCTCCACCTTTCCAGTTCTCAGTTATCTCTGTTTCTGTCTTGCTGATTGATCCTTGTACTAGTTTCATCTCTGAGTTCATTTGCTTATGTTCCGTCTTACTTACCAATGTGTTTCCTGCATGCTCATACATAGCCTTACTCCTTTGCTTACTGATCCTCTCGGATAGTCTCTAGTATATAACCCCTGTACAACTACAGTAGAGTCCTCAGTCTGAATATCATCTTAGTTCCTGCTCTCTCATCTTAGATCCTGTTCTACTTGCCAATCATCTTCCGGACTTCAGTCCGTCTGAGTCTCATCCTTTTCCATAAGGCCTAGGGAAGGATTCCCTAGGCTGGAATTCTGGACCTTCGGATTTGTCCCCTATGTCTCTATCCCAAGTCTAGGGATTGCTTCCCTAGGCTGGAGTCTTGCCTTTCTGGCACTTACCCTCTTTCCAGACTTAGGTCCACTTCCTGTCCCTCGACTCTACCTTAGGGTAGTCTACCTCTGTTTGCTTCTGCATCGGACTTCGTCTGATGTAGCCCCTATTCCTTCCGGACCTCCTGTCTCTGTACCTCCGGACATTCTGTCCCTCCGGACGTCCTGTCCCTCATACCTCAGGGCATCCTGTCCTTTGGACGTTCCGCCCTCCAGTACCTTTGGATGTTCCATCCTCCATACCTCCAGACCTCCTATCCTTCCATCCTGTTTTCCTGTAGAAGTATTACCTTGCAGTGGGAACTCTCTTGAGCATTTCCTGCATCCCTCCAGAAACTCTCCTGCGCTCCTCCAGAAGTCCTCCCGCACTCTCCACCAGAGTAGCCAGCCTCTGGAAGTCCTCTGGACTTTGTCAGGACCATCATCAGACTTCCTCTGAAATGAAGGGCACATACTCAGGTAAGGGGCACAGCGTACTAAGCTGAGGCCAAGCCCCTCTGAGTCAGTCTCTCTCTCCCTTTGAGCATGGTTCTTAACACTAGGATACAATCCTAAGACTCAGAATATGACAAGAGACTTGGCTCAAGTCCAGAGGACACAGGAATGAGCAGGAACTAAGATGATATTCAAACTGAAGTATTTCCAAGAGTTACAGGAGGTTTATATACTGTAGGTATCATATAGGAATCAGTCAGCAAACACAAAGGCTATGTGCAAAGCATATGCAAAGTCTATTAGTAAGTAAGATGGTGACATGCACAAAACTTGTTTCATACATGGTCATGACCATATTATGATTTATGTCACTTTATTTTTTTCAAACTATGAAGTCACTTGAATTTTTCTCACAATATTAATTTTATTTGGACATTTCAAAGCATGTTTCACCAAGAAATGGCTTAGCTGTCCATGTAAAACACTTATCTTTCTTGTATAATGAAATAAATATGTGTCAACATTTTATGCCACTTTATTTGTATCTATGTATCCAAAGCTGTGGAACCTGACAAATTGATACTATGATTAGAAAGATGATGATTGGTAAAGCACAACAACAAGACAGTGCTAACACAGCCTTTGCCAAGCATTCTTACCAAGTATTCTGTAAAATTCCAGAGCATTCTATAGTCCTTTCTCATAATGATTCATACTGACTCAGCATGACTCAATATGACTCCAATTTAATTTAAGTACATTAGTAATCAATAGCATAGCCACTAGTATAGTAGTATATAAGGGGCTCATTTTTCCCCTCTTGTGAAGTAATCAATTTCATTCCCAAGTATCAATCATCCAATCAGGGTGAGACAAAGTTTAGGGGAATCAAAGGGGGATTAGTGCATACACCCCTAAGTTTCTTTACCCCTATTATCTAAGTGAACAAATGACAACTAGGAGAAATATTAGCTTATTTACTCCATTCTTTTACCACATTCTTCACACATTATTCAGAAGTATTTGAGGCCACACTTGAGCCATATTTGATTACACAAGTAGTATTCATTCTAGTTCTCTTTTAGACACAGGAAAAGTTCTGTGGGGAGAATCACACATATTATTCATCAATTAGGGAAGACAAATAAGACCTACAATCTGTCAACAAATATTAAGAGCTTGGCCACTTAAGACTACATCAAAGGATGTACTCTGTTCTGGACTGTGTCATACTCATAGTGAGTGCCTGAGCAGCAGAGAGTTGGTTTTGAGGCCATGTATTGGGACAATTTCACTAGTGAATTTGATCTCCATTGCTGAAGATAAGTAAGAAATATCCACAGGGATATATTATAGCTCTAGTCATTGCATACAGCTGCAACATATTATTCTGAAGGTCATAGCACTGCATCATGCTAGTTACTGACTTTACTTGAGATCATAGCACTGCCTCAAGCCAGTTATTGATTTCCACACTTCTTTGCCCATTTTATGTCACTAGCATTCACTTGAAAAGTTCAACAGAAAATCTTGTCTCCCACGAACAACTACATTATCAACCATTGGTATTTGTCTGAACCATTGACCATAGAAGGATAGTGAATTTGGTGACTTTTCTGCCTTTCACATCCTAGCAAGACAACAGATCACCAATAATGCATATTGGAAATGAAATGTATGTAATGGATCAATAATCAGAAGGGAAACATAGTTAACTGGAGTCCAGAGACAGGGGAAGTCTAAATGGGGTTGGGCACTGATATAGAGTTTGGATTCCGGAAGGAAGATAAAGATAGATCAGATCATTGGAGATCTGGATCTTTATCTCCCTTCTGGAATCCAAACCTTATATCAGTGCCCAACCCCATTTAGACTTCCCCTGTCTCTGGACTCCAGTTAACTATGTTTCCCTTCTGATTACTGATCCATTACATACATTTCATTTCTGGTATTCATTATTGGTGATCCGTCCTACTTACTAATGTGTTTCCACATGCTCATACATAGCCTTACTCCTTTGCTTACTGATCCTCTCAGATAGCCTCTAGTATATAACCCCTGTACAACTACAGTAGAGTCCTCAGTCTGAATATCATCTTAGTTCCTGCTCATTCCTGCACCCTCCAGACTTGAGTTAGTTCTCTTGTCATCATCCAAGTCTTAGAATTATATCCTAGACTACATCTCTGGTTCTACCTTAGGGTAGTCTATCCTCTGTCAGTTTCTAGTCCAGACTTTGTCTGGATTAGCCTTACCTCCTTGTCCAATCAACATCTGGACATCCACCAGATTTATCTCACATTTTATACCCGGACATCTGTTGTCCACCCTAGTCAAAACCTGGAAACTCCAGATGACTATTCAGCCCCTGGAAATTAAGGGCACATACTCAGCAAAGGGGCACAGCATATGAGCTGAGGCCAAGCCCTTGTGATCCAACCCCCCTTGAGCACGCAACCTTAACAGCACCAGAGAATCAAAGACTTGGAGTACATACCCCTATATGAGTGCATATACCTACCATTGACCATGGAAACCCAAAACCCAAAAGCCTGAATACACCATGTCTGACATTCACCAAGTACCAAAACCCAACACCCAAAACCTGAAACTCAAAACTCAAAACTCAAAACTCATACATTTTTACAAGTTTTGAGTTTTGAGTCTTGAATCACTGAGTATTGAGTACCAAGTCCCAAAACCCAAACATCAAAACCTGAAACTCAAAACTCATACATTTTTACAAGTTTCAAGTTTCAAGTCTTGAATCACCGAGTATCAAGTACTGAGTACCAAAACCTGAGTACCAAAACCCAAAACTTGAACATCAAAACTCAAAACTCAAAACTCTTCACCAAGTGCTGAGTACCAAATGCCAACACCCGAAGTTTCATGTTGTATACATTTTTGCAAGATTTGATTTTCAACTCTCAAGATTCAAGATTTGAGTCTCAAGTTTCAAGTTTTGGGTTTCGATGTTCAAATTTCAGGTGTCAGTACTTGGGTTTCAGTACTCAGTACTTGGTACTTGGTGATTCAAGACTCAAACTCAAACTCAAAACTCATAAAAATGTATGAGTTTTGATGTGCAAGTTTCAAGTTTTGGGTTTTGGTACTTGGTCTTTGAAACTCGGTGATTTGATAAATGGACTGGTAGAGGTAACATTCATTGAAAAAGTTGTATATATGTCTATCACTATGCAATTATGTAGCCATGTCAACCTCCTCAGAAGATGCTTCAACCTTCACCTCAACATCCACCTCAACATCCATGTCATTGGAAGAATTGTATTCTGGGACAAGGTTGCTTAGATCACCCAGGTCCACAATTTCACTGGACATATCTGGATCCTCTGGATGAACAACTTGGTTGTACTCAAACAGGAGACCCTCAATGGCAGAGGCATCCTTGAATTTCAGGGGTGTGGGTGCCATCCCTGCCACTGAGAGATCAATGAGAGGAGGGAGTGCAGATTCAGGGAGTGACATGGACATGGAGATAGACTGATCAAGCACAAGGATGTTGCATTGGCAGGAGGGTCAGGAATTGGGAATGAGGGGTGCCAGTTGATGATTTCATGCCTAAGGCCTTCATTGAGGCATTGCAGGGTATTAATCTTACTATCCTGCTCTGCCACATGAGCCTTGAGAATAGTGATTTGAGGTGCACCATCTCGAATCGCAATTGCCATGGCATGGAGATCCAGCATGGGCATGTCGAGTGCTGCAGCAGGGACTGCTGAACTCAAAGACAGAAGTGCTACAAGGGAAAATTAAGGTCAGATGGTGATGAAAAAAAACTTGAGTGACTTACAAGCTGGTGCAGGTGCAGGTGCCTTGACAGCAGTGATGGTCTTGCTGTGACCACACATCTGGGTCTTTGGGGTTGTCACAGCAGTGACACCCAGAGTTCCAGACAGGCAATCAGACTGACTGCAAGTTTGGGCCTTGGATTGAGAGGCAGGGGGAGCTTTGGAGGGAGCCTTGGAGGGTATCCTGGACTTTATCTTCTGGATGGTAGAGGAAGCATGAATGTGTTTCAGCAGGGATCCCAGAGTCACAGAGATGCACTTGATCTTCTTTGTCATGCAGTAGATGCATGACATACACAGATTCCTGGTCCTCTTGTCCAACCAAGTTGTGCAGGGCCAGTCTAGCTTCTTGCAAGCCTAGCATGGGTTGTTCTGTGGGTTGTGTTAGTGTATGGATGCACTTCAGATAAATCAAAGTACTCACCAGTCTGGGAATGAGAATATCACCTGCATCAATGACTGGGGGTGCCTGCACCAGGGTTTTGGGAGTTGGCTGGGAGGGCTCAATGACTGCTGGGTGACTGCTGGCAATCACCTGCTATATTGTAAGCATACACCTGAGTCCCAGACACATAAATGTGACTTACTGTGGCAGGGTCAAAGAGTTTTTCATTGGAACCCAGGGTGATCAAGGCAAATTAGGTGTCCTTGCAATAATTGGGGAGAGCTGGGGAAGGATGACCTCTGGCACTCCATCCAAAAATGGCTACAAGAAAATGTGAGACAAGTAAAAGATGAACCAGATGACATACCTGAATAATCATGTTCTCCTCATCTTCTGACTCCATGATGGGCTTGGACTTTACAATGCAAGACAACTTCACATGCTTGCAAGTCTTCATCACAGGCTTCAGTAGTTGGGAGGAGAGTGCCAAAATCATGGAAGACTTCCTCTTCCTACTCCCTTCTGCCTTAGGCTCCAGGTCAGCAATGATGGCCTCACCTTTCCCCTTGTCCTGGTACTCAGTGGTGGTGTTGGTGGAAGGACCAGTGACATTGCTGGTGAGGACAGGTGGGGAGGGAAGGTCAACTGGAATCAGACCTGTGGAAGGAGGAGCAGTGACTGGGAGATCAAAGGTATGGTCACCTAAGACCTCCTAGGTGAGGAGCTTAGTGTGCCAGATGTGCTTCAAGAGATGGGAATCATCATACCAAATGCTGTGCCAGTTGGGCCAGACCTGGGGAGTCATGCTCTGGACATGCATTAGCTCCTTGGAGCACAAAAGCACAATGCCAGGCAGGGGTCCAGCCCCATACTCCTTGACTACATGAGCCTGCCTGGATGTTAGAGAGAAAAAAAGAAAAAAAAAGAATGCTACATATCACAAGTGAACTGACCTGTAATGTCAGAGCAAAGTGGCTGGGACCTGGGGCAATTTGCCAGGTGCCACTGATGATGGCCATGATCTGGGCAGTGGATGCCTTGAGACTGGTCAAAGAGGTGTTAACCTGGAGTGGACATGATAATTGAGTTGAGAGATTTAAAGATCTTGAAATCAGGTTGAAATCAGTTATCACAAGGATGAAGTTTCAAAAGAAACAAGACATTTGATGGACAATCTATAAAATCATTGATTGTTTGTCTTTGTTTGGTCATGGTTCAACTTTCAGCAATTGCTGGTTTTGTGTTGAACTTTGAAGTTTTTTTCAATTATCAGTCAACAAATCAATCAATTCCTCACACAACATGAGCCCACAGCCAGCCATTCAATTTAATGACCCTCCAGTGACTGACTACAATTCAATGGATGTGGATGAGTCCTCTGTGTCCTGGGTATCACTAGGTATGTTGTATTTTTATCATGCCTTATCTATTTACCAGATATCCCTTAGATGATCTATACCTTGGGCTGGATGATGACATAGAATATGATTCTGTGTCATCTGGATCACCAGATGTCTTGGCTGCAATACCCAGTAAGTTTATACATTCATTAGGATCAAGGAACACCATGCATGCTCACTAAACCCTTGTGTCATATCCCACAATCTGGACCCACATTCCATCATATTCCCATACCTTCCAAGCCTACATCCAGACCCCACTTCATATCCAACTCATTCCCAGATCCCCTTCCACTGTGTGCTCCACACCTCAGTAGGATCGACTCCACTCCAGATTTACCCCTGAGCTCTGGACCTCTGGATCCTCACTGCTAGCCTGATCCATACCACCCTATCCTGTCCACCCTATGCACACTCCATCTGGCAAGACATCCAGACTTCACCTCATCTTGGATTCCAGACTATATCCACCTTCTCATATCCCAGTCCTGTATCTACCTTGTCTTCTGGATCCCCAGATCTCCAGACCTATTCCCACCCTCTGTCCAATATCCTGCGCCTATCCCCATTTAGGCATCTCTGCCTTTCCAGCATTCAGTTACCTCTTCTTCCATCTTGCTTATTGATCCTTGTATGAGTCTTCATCTCCAAGTTCATTTAGTTATGTTCCGACTTACTTACTAATGTGTTTCCACATGCTCATACATAGCCTTGCTCCTTTGCTTACTGATCCCCTCAGATATTGTTCAGTATATAACCCCTGTAGATACTCCTGTAGTTCCTCAGTTTGAATATCATCTTAGACTTGCCCAATCCTCTCTCGGACCTTGTTCCACCTAAGTCTGTCCTACCATCAGGCCTAGGGATTGATTCCCTAGGCCAGAGCTCCGCCTTTCTGGCACTTACCCTCTTTCTGGACTTAGGTCCAACCCCTGTCTCTCCAATTCTACCTTAGGGTAGTCTACCTCTGTTTGCTTCTACATCGGACTTCGTCCAATGTAGCCCCTATTCCTTCCAGACCTCCGGACCTCCTGTCCCTCGTACCTCCAGGCATCCTGTCCTTTGGACATTCCGCTCTCTGTACCTTCAGACATTCCATCCTCCTAACCCCCAGACATCCTGCCCTCTGTACCTTCGGACATCCTGTCCTTCTGTCCTCCATCATCCTGTCCTCCTGTCCTCCTGCCCTCCTGTCCTCCAGACCTTCAGACCTCCTATCCTTCCATCCTGTTTCCTGTAGAAGTATTACCTTGCAGTGGGAACTCTCCTGAGCACTTCCTGTGTTCCACCGGAACTCTCCCGCGCTCCTCCGGACGTTTCCCACGCTCCTCCGGAAGTCCTCTAGTGCTCTCCAGCAGAGTAGCCAGCCTCCAGAAGTCCTCCAGACTTTGTTGGACCATCATTGGACCTCATACAAAATGAAGGGCACATACTTGGGTAAGGGGCACAGCGTACAAGCTGAGGCCAAGCCCCTCTGAGTCAGTCTCTCTCCCCCTTGAGCAACATGGTTCTTAACACGGACCATCATCAGACTTCCTCTGAAATGAAGGGCACATACTCAGGTAAGGGACACAGTGTATGAGCTGAGGCCAAGCCCCTCTGAGTCAGTCTCTCTCTCCCTTGAGCAACATGGTTCTTAACACCTTGCAGATCAATCACCTCCAGCTCAAGCTGATCATCCAAGTTTTCCCATCAATCCAGACTTGTACCTCAGGTCTGAGGATGATATCATCAATGTTGATGAGTTGCTGGATTCTGCTGATCCTGAGATTGATGCTCTGGCTGCATCAGAAGTGTCGATGTCATGTGAGTTCATTCATTCCAGAGGATTATTGATCCTTAATGTATCTCCCAAGCAGATGAAACATCTACTGAACTTCATTCAGAACAGCTGGAGCTCACTAACAAAGATTTATGTTTGATGGTCCAGGAGTTCCAACCATTTGGGTCATATGAACACACAGGGTGTGAGTATCTGACATAGTAGATCATTTATCTTTGTGCTAATTTTTCTACAAGTGCAATCTGTTCAAGATTGACTTGGTGATTACAAGTGCTGTACTGGGGATCTTCCTGATCCTTCCATTCCACTACTACTCAAGGCCAAGCAACCTTTCCAGATGGCTTAGGCAAAAACTTCCAACAAACTCAGAAGAGCTGATGCAGACCTCCAGAGGTTGCAAAGAGCTCAACAGATGAGCATTGAAATGCTCAAGGTAGTAGATTCCCTGATCAATTGGTTTGAAGATCAAATTCAAATGTAAATTACCAAATTTCTGATAGTAGTCAAATCACATGTAAACTTCCAAATTTTCATTAACATACCCACATCATGTAAACAACCAAATTTGCAACACATTCCTCTTCCATTTCCAATTGAGTTACTGAGGCTGAGGAATTCCTGAGTGTTGAACACTGAAGTTCAATTCTCGCTTTACTGAGGATCACTGAGTCATGAGTATTGATCATCAAATAGAGATTGAATAACATTGACATGTACATAAAGGCAGGCAGTGTAGTATAAGTCCATTACTTCTTTCCCCTTGCTCTAGTCACTCGAGGGGTACTGTCTAATGGCTGTTGCATTGACTTACTCCAGGTTGTCCTCACCAATGGCTCAATCACTGCTTTTTTCCTCATATGTTCTTTAGCGCTGGAGACGTGTGCCCTCCTTCCATTGCAACATCCTCCTCAACACTGCTGGTGACTCCATCAGTCAACCCAGCCAGGAGGTTGCCCATTCATGATGTCAGCAGTGCACCAATTTTCACTGGCTTGACCAGGTGAGGCTTTGGAATTGCATGTGGGACCACTGTCCCTTCATGTGCTGTTGAAGGACCTAGCTCTCTTCTGGGTCTCTTTTGCAGGGATCTACTGTTGGCCATGTCATCATCAGCATCTTCCTCCATCCCTCAAGATACCTCAATTGAAGGCTACATTCATAGTCCATCTTGATACATACACAAAGACTACTACTGAAACTAATGGTAAAGCAAAGTCCAAGGAAGCCAAATCTATGAAAGTCAAGGAACTTGTATTCCACATCTCCAAGCCCAACTATCTTGACTTTTTGACTATCATCCTTGCAAAACATGACAAATCACAATACAGGGGTTAGTAACTGAGAGGAAAAAGTATAGTTTCAAGTACCTCCTTGACAATTCTCATGGGCAAGTGATCTTTGTGTGATCCAAGGGCTTGATCTTATCCCACAGTGGTTTTTTATAGCCATGCTGAAGCTATGGATGCCAACAACAATGAGGATAATGCAGAGATGGCAAAAGTTCCTCATTCCTTTTGAGACCATAGGCTGAAATACACCTGCGATGGAAGTGTAGCCAATGAAATGTGTTGGTATCAACACAAACACACCACAGCAAGAGCACAATTCATGTTGTAACTCATCAAGATAGATGGTAGGACAGTGATGAAGGATTGTGGTAATGAATGTGATGTCATTGATGGTGAGGCTGCAATGCTGGCCTTGACTGCTGTAGTGGTACTGTGAAACCAAGGGAAAGAGTTGTGAGACTTTGTATACAAGGGTCTTCTTAACCCCAAGCAGATGACATATATGCTTGATGGAATGCCTGAGTCGACATAGAACAGGAATTCGAGCTTTCAAGTCTGCTGAAACAGCGCGTGGTGGCATTGTAGACTTAACTGTGATAGCGACGAGCCAGAGCGCTGCCAGCGGCTTAGAAGTGCTTACGGGGTCCTCGTCGGATATTTCCGATGCGCGTTTTGCGATTCCGCATATTTATGAAAACCGCTGTAACATTCTAAAAAGGTAATTCTGGAATCTTCGCGGCGGCTTAGGTAACCTTGGAATTATATATTTACATTGGTCTAGAATTCAGCAAGTAGGCATAACTAACAATGACCACCTGGGCTCAGGCCATTCACCATCCCTGGTTCGATCCGTTACCTGCGAAGCGTAAACTGTCCAACGCGGATGACGAGCGCCGTGCAACACCCTATCAGCGCTCGTCACCAAGCCCCACGAGCCGCGCCAAACGACGCAAGTTCAATACACTGGAGCATGGGTTTGCCCACCTCACGCTCGCATCGGCGCCGGTCTACCCCAACTCAACGAGTGGGCTGGTGATTACACCCATTAATTCCACTGTTTCATCTTCCGAATCTACGACATTTCCACCTTCTAGTATCGTCCTCCCCAGCTCTGTCGAGGAACCGCCGCATGAAGTTGAAGCGGTGGCGCCCGAGGTGAACATGGAGAGTTTGGACGAGGGAGAATGTAAGCATATTTTAGAGTTTATCACAGATGTCCTGACTGGTTACGCAGACACTGGCAAGATCAAGGCGACTCGTCACTATTCGATATCGACGCCTTTGCTTCGGCGCCTACGAAAACACCAGACGGCACCGCAGCCTATTATTCCCATCTCGTCGCCCAGTACGGGAGGGGGTGCTCTTGTGTTGTATCGGCCGTTGCGGCCACTTTCCCCCACTCATCAAGTCGATGAACAAACAGAGTCGGTAGAGGAGGTTACCACGGCCGGTGCTGCGAGTCTTGAACGTGATGAAGACGCGATGGACATAGAGTAGAACGATGCGCCCACTCATTTGTTTGGTTTGGTACTTATTAATATCCTAAAACGACACATCGACTTTACGAAAAACAAGAACTGCCCATCTATGTAGGTAACAAGCAAAGCACAGGAACGAAGAACTAGAGAGAAAGGTGAAAGCTTCTGAATCAACGGGCGTCAAGATTGCGGGTACCATAAGATAACATAGTGGTCCCAGAGGGACCCTCTTCAGTAGGATATAGACCTTCTGAGTAGTTGAGGTGAGAATGATGGTGCCTGGCGTGGGCGTGAGGGTGGGGAACATGGTGCATTTGAGCGGGGGTATATGGGGGACGGAGGGTAACGGAGCCAGAAGAAGGGGCGGAGAGCTTTGGAGGATTGGTTGTGACAGTGGTGTTTGGCTGATCTTGAAAATGATGCTGGGTAGAAAAGGGGGGTTGAGCATAGGGGTTAACGTGTAGGACAGGATCATCGATGGTAGGAGGAGAGTTATTCTCCTCTTTGTCAACGAGAGGTTGGTCGTCTACGTCGTCGTCTGCAATGTCACGAGCATTGGCGACCTGGTTCTTTTGAGCAGCGATTTCCTCTGCTGTGAGGAAGCGGCCACCAGGACCGCGGGGACGACGCATTGCGTGTTTGTGGCGACTTTCATGTAAATATGGCTAAAATAGGATAAAATTTTTGGTTATATGAGACTAGAATGAATCTACCTTTCTTTGCCTTGATAGTCTGTGTACTTCGTCTAAACGAGCACGAGCGACACGACGCTTGAGAATACGAAAATATTGTTTTGCATTTACATAGAGGGGTTCCTCATCTACTTGGTGATCATCTGTTGGAGTTGAAGTTTGATCTTGTTCGATGTGATGATGTAGGAATAAGTCGTCTGCAGGAGAGTTGCGATGAGTTGTGAGAGCGGGTGAAGAAGGACCTGGGGAAGGGTTTCGGGAATGATGATAAAAATGATGATTATAAATATCAGAAGATTGACGAGAAAAGGGAGAAGAAGGATGAGTAGGATGACTAGCTGCGTAATGGTAAGCGGAATCGAGCAGCTGATCGACAGGATCGCCCATTGATTGGCTGCTTGCACAAGCGTTGACTCTAACAAACTAATCCACAACGGTCACACCCCCACATCCTGTCACGTTACTTTACGTAAACTCTTTCTTCTTCAAATCAACAACATGGACACGAAACTGTATTCATATATTCATCAAATTCATTAACAATTCACTAATATCATCGTTATAGGAGAGCATTAAAAGTTCAAGAACTGAAAGAAATCCTTTCAAAGGCTTCTATACCTCCAGGAAATGCAAAGAAGCAGGACCTTATCAATAAAATTTTAGCAAACCCTCCTGCTATAGACGTCTTTCACACTCTTCATCCTGGTACTAAACCAAAGAACTCTAAACCAGCACCACCTCCATCTACTGACGATGATCTCGTGCGTTTTTCTCTTTTTAATTCATCTTTCATATCCTAATTTTCACACAGCTCGCTCCTCCAGAAGAGTATTACGTCGTCACATACCCACGTGTCCTCACTCTGACCCTTTCCATAGAATCGACTGGACGGTAGAAGAGTCTATTACAGTAGAACCTGCATCTCCGCCCAAAGAATCTGAACAGGTTGGCCCTATTTTTTGAACCGAGTGTATCATCTCTAACTTTTACTTAAGCCTCTTCCATCACCTGCACCAGCCGTCGCCGCTCCACCCGCACCTGAACCCGAACCCGCACCTGCCGTGCAGTCGGAAGAGGATAAACGCAAAGCTCGTGCAGCTCGTTTTGGCACAGCTTATGTTGAACCCGTTCAGAAACAACCGAAAAAGGCTGCTGGCGAGGTGAGTACCATCATCTACCGACTTCTACTCTTTCATGACTTTCTACTTTGTAGAAACCCGACATACTCAAGGCCCGAGCAGAGCGGTTTGGTTTTGTCGCTTCCGTCGCCAAGGGTAGAGGAAAGCGCACAGCACCTGTCGAAAACGTTGATCCTGAGGAGCAGGAGCGTAGGAGGAAACGCGCTGAACGGTTTGGCTTGCCACTATCCGTAAGTCCCATGTTCATGGTCAGTGCTGTATTCACTCATAAACTGATTTAGGGCAAGGCGTAAGTATTGTTGGACTTGTTGTTCTTGAACAGCTTTTATTTATTCTCACTGTTGTTGTTCATGTATATAAGTGCATATCTTTTTTGGAGTGTATCATGTAGACGGCTTAAAGTTGTATTCTCGTCCTCTCAACTCGAATACTCACTGTTATTCTGCTGTACACATTGGAAGTTGATCCGGATCATCGGTGATGGCGGCAGTACATGCATAATCCGAGGCTAACAGTACTCATACCCTATAGCTAGCATCTTGATCAACGCGACCTCCACGCCCCTTTACAGTACTGCATTCCACACCCATCGACCATGTCCTATATGTCCTATCCCCAGCGTTCTACGTATCTTGAGTTTCTTGAGTTCCCCCCAGGCTATGGTCCTTGGACTTATCGTGCTATCCCAGAACCTTTGATCTCATCCGAGCTTGCACGTCTGGCCTCCGCACACGTTATCAACAGTAAAACAACCACGACAGGCTGCGTCTCCCTGCAGCCAAGCCCAGATCCAGACGACCGCTCCCAGGACCGCTTTGTCGTCCTGGACTGGGATGGATGGTCGTTTTCTGCTGTGTTTGATGGTACTATGTGTAACCTAATTGGATCCGAAATAACTGTCTCTGATACTTATAACAGGCCATGGAGGGGAGGAGGCTGTAGACTACGTCGTTCAGGAGCTCCCCTCGTTAATCCACGCAGCTCTCACCAAGGCTCTGGCCAATGCAGGCACTGTACCCCTTGCACCCTCGGCCATCTCCACCCTTCTGCAGTCTTCTATCCAAGCCGTTGATGACGCCCTAACCGACGGAGTCAAACACCTCTTCCCCGATGAAGCAACCCTCGCCGCCCTCACAGACGAGCAAATCAAGTCCATCATTAACGGCCCCACAAACCCCAACAATCTCACGATCCTGCGCTGCATGCGTGGTACGACTGCCCTTGTTTCGCTCGTGGACTCAAAGAAGGAGAATCTCTGGGTAGCCAGCCTCGGTGATTGTCAGGCTGGTGCGTGCCCTTTCCACGACGCCTGAACATACCAGGTTGATATTATGCGCAGTGCTCGGCACTAAAGACTCCAATGGTGCGTGGGATGCAACGATCCTCAGTGTAAACCACAGTGGCAGGAACCCCGCTGAGGTTGCGCGTATCCGCAAAGAACATCCAAACGAATCTGAATGTATCAAATTCGACAGAATTCTTGGCGCAATCGCCGTCACACGAGGCAAGTACTTTCCCCATTCTCATTCTCATTCCCATCTCCCATAAGCTGCATCAAACATAAACCTATTCACACCACCATCTAGCCATCGGAGACCACATCTTCAAGCTTCCGGTATCCTACACCACACGGGTTTTCATGAACTGCGTCCCCGGCTTTTCCGTCTCCTCCAAACTCGAACATTTCCTCCCGCATAACAAATCGCCGCCCTACCTATCTGCTCTTGCCGATATTAAACATGTCGCTCTCCAGCCAACCACAGCTAACACATCTGAATCATTCTTGATCTTGTGCTCAGATGGTCTCATAGATCTATACGAACATACGAATTCTACCTTGGAGGAGATTCTCACACAATGGGTCCATATGCTCGGCGAGCGTATGGACAGGATAAGTGCCAAGGTCAGTGACGAGGCGGACAAGGAGAATGCAGCACTAGTACTGCTCAGACACGCGTTGATGGGCGGAGGGGTGGATAACTCAGACCGCCTCACACAGATGCTCACGGTGGAGATACCCTGTCGGTGGATGGATGATACGACCGTGCTTGTCCAGACCCTTTAATACGTCCGTGGAGCTCATTTATAATATCTATGGGCAGTTGGATCATAGGTGTAGCACTGTGGTCTATTATGTCCCACACTTGCTTTGCACTGTAACAAGACTTCTTGCGGCTAACCACATGTCCTGCTGGCAATTGGGAGAAACCAGCTCTACCATACTACTAATCAGGGACAATGAAATAACTTTGGCGCGGAAAATCTTAATGCCCTTTCACCCTCGCAACCCAACCGTTGTCGACACTTCTCCACTCCCAAACTGATTGCGGAACCCTACGTCATCCAGCTCATCGTCAGAGAGCTCTGCCTCAGGACATGCATTCTTTTCTCACAGCAGAGCTGCTTCACCCATTGACCATTACCGAAAGCGGGTTTGATGACAAAATGCACCAGGAAAGTATGTCCGTACCCTCGGTATCCATAACGCCACATGGTGTGCGATTCGTCACGATGTGCGAGGTTATTGGTCGGTTTTATGAATTGAAATATCGCTCCTTGGCGCAGCACGCAAGTGGATGTCAGCGTCATAATTGCTGAACGTGACCAAGCTTCATTTCTTCTCTACTATGTAACTCGGGGCTACAACATATAAAGCTGGCAGGCTCGTCATGATGATCCAGATGCGTCTTGTGGGGGCGGTTCGCGAAGCGGGTTCTCTTGCCGTGCTTGGCTAAGTAGCTCACCCAAACCTTTCTCCGTGACAGCTTTCTATATTGGAAGAGATCAGCATCGGAAACATGATCAAATATCGAACGAGCAGACAATCTAGTGAATTGAAATGAATGTTGCTCGGGAAATCATTCCCCGCAATGTAGAGAAAAGAGCTGGAGCTTACCTGCACGCAATCTTTGTATTTGGCCCAGATACTTCCACATTTACGATCGTATTCTTCCTTCTTTAGCTTTGAGTAATCAATTCTTTGACTTTGTGAGTGTCCCTTGGTATTGGCGTTCGCAATAGCTGGTTCGAGGTAGCCCTCAAACCAAGTATTGAAGCACGCATCATATTCGTGCTTCAACGGCGTGCATTCTGGAGATAACGAATGGGCCATTCCTGCAAACGCGAGCGAGAGGCAAAGACCTGAGAAAGCACTTTACAAACGACCCGGGTGTGCTCACTGCTTCCCGTCGCGCACGCCACTTAGTCATCGGCTGCGGCTGTGCTACTGATAATAATAATCTTTGCCGATTCTGAGTCACTAACACCTCCGAAATATAATTTTCGACGGGGACGATACCTGTTGAAACTAAACACCAAGTAGCATCCATGGATCCAGCTAACGAGCAACCCCTGTTCACCTGCCTGTCATGCTCGATAGCCTTTCTTTCCGCGGAGGAGCAGCGTATGTCCTGACACCCCCTCCTGACTTGATGAATTAATGCATGGGCACACAGGCACGCACTACCGCTCAGACCACCACAGGTACAACATGAAGCGTCGCGTCGCATCCCTGCCACCAGTTAGCGCTGCTATATTCAATCAAAAGGTGCTCGAACGGCGTCAGGAGACCGCGATCATGTCCTCACTGAAGGGGAGCGCCTGTGAGGTGTGCGGGTACGTTCCTTTTGATCACAATAACCGCTTTCTTTTTCTTTCTTCTGCGTTGATATTATCTTCTCGATATAGTTCTTGAATCGAAGCTCTCTAACATACGAACAGGAAAACATACACAACAGAAAATGCATATAGATCCCACATAAATTCCAAGAAGCACAAAGAGAACGAGCTTAAGACTGTTACACAGCAAAGTCAACCAGTAGCCCATCCAGACGAAGTTGCTAGCGCCCCTGTAGATCTCCCACCGTCATCCACACTCCCCGTCATCTCCGAAACTCCCATACCTAGAGACTCGACCCTTGGTGTACCCGCGGCCGCGACTGAGGACGACATCAACGAAAGCATAGACGCCAAGATAGCTGCTGCCCGCTCACGTCTTTCTCCAGCGCATTGCCTGTTCTGCACGCATACTTCCTCCACCCTTTCAGAAAATCTAACGCACATGTCTTCTTCGCACTCCTTTTTCGTCCCTGATGCTGACTATCTCGTTGATCTCCCTGGTCTCATCACATACCTTGGTGAGAAGATCGCAGTTGGAAATGTCTGCATTTACTGCAACGGCAAGGGACGTGAGCTTCGGACGCTCGAGGCCGTGCGGAAACACATGTTAGATAAGGCTCACTGCAAGATCGCCTACGATTCCGAGGACGACCGACTTGAGGTGTCAGACTATTACGACTTCACAACTTCATATCCCGCTGACACACAGAAGAAGAAGTCTAAACAGCCACGTACGGAGGACGAGGAGTGGGAGGACGCCGATGATGACAGTGGGGATGCTGAAGAGGTCGTCGATGAAGCTGCTTCAGAGCCTCCTGATTCTGAATCAGATTTTGATGAAAGCATACCCGAGAACCAGATTACCTATGGCGATACCGAGTATGAGCTTGTTCTCCCATCAGGTGCACGCATCGGCCATCGGTCGATGAAGCGCTATTATGCACAATCCCTGCAGCCTATGCGCGTCCAGAGTAATGAAGACCGCAACTCCGGGATCGCGCTTGTCCGCAGATTGCTCGCAGACAAGAATTCTGCCCTTGTACCCCGCAAGGGTGGGTTTGGCGCACATGGGCAAGGAATGGAGACTGTGAAAGCGAGGAATCGTGGTGAGGCAAGAGAGGCGGGGAGGCATGTACGAGAGTTCAGAGATCAGAAGCGTAGGGAAGATTTCAAGACACGAGTAGGTTTCATACACAACAGTCAGAAACACTTCCGGGACCCACTTCTGCAGGTCAGTGTTTTGTACCTGACCATCCTTCATCCTTCATCGTTGCTCATTCTCATCCTCAGTGAAAATGCAGAGTTTTACTGTGCATGGTAAACTGCATGATATTCCTTTGGCATTCCCAAAACCACTATTTCCTTTTATTTTGTCTCATGAAAGCGTCCCTAGAAGGCGGAAACATAAGAAATAATGCTATGATATCAATGAATTGAAAGAGCGACCAAAAGGTCGATCTTGGTTAAGTAGGGTATAATGATGTACGACCGATAGCAAGAAGACAAGATACGAGAAGGAAATCAATTAATACAGATAAGCCGCGGGCACCACGCCCTCCTGGCCTGTTTGTGGATTTCGTGTATACCACCACCTGAGAAAGAATATGAGCACATGGACCATAAGGCTGAATGTTATCTCTTACGCAGTGTCCCGATCATCCAACACCTCTACCTCGAGCCCAGCCGTCAAAGGTAGTTCTCCCTCACCTGTCCCATCGAACGAGTAGCGAGCGTGTGCAGGGCGAGTGAACTCCTCTTCGGCAGCCATCGTACCCACTACCGCGTCTGAGGGAGTTTCTGCTCGCAAGTAATTACTACCATCTGGTCCAAATGGATCAGGCTCTGCAGTGGTGGCTTTTCTCGCGGTCTCATCCTTCTCAGCGCCGATCATATTTAATGGGCCCGGGGCACCAAGAATTGTTGTTCGTGTAGCCGCGTTGATGTGCTCTAGTAATGACGATGGTCGGTGTTGAACTGAATTATCATCGTCGTCATCGTCGCTGGCATTATACTTGGCTACTCTATCATCGCGACGAGACAGTAGGGTCCAGAGAATGCCGATGAGTGCCAACAGGAACACAACCCCAGCTGCGATGGCAATGGAGATGAGAATGACAATACCAGTTGCGAGGAACTCTGTGAGAGATCCATGAGCTATGGTTCGAGAAAACATGAAAGTTACCTACGTTGTTGAGTGAAGCTGAAGTTTGCGAGTGAATAAAACAGTGAAGAAATTGAACCCAGCGCTCCCTGAGCAGTTACAGTGGCCATATAAGGAATAAATGACGAGCCATCGAAGAGGACAGAGGACGCAGAACCGAACGAAGAGTCGGACAGCGCACCCGAGATCATCAACATCCGGTCGGATTCAATGATGCTGTTAGCCGAGTGTGTGTTCAGCAAGGGAACCATGACAAGCTGGGAAATGTTGGTGGTGCCCTGAAGCGAAGATCCAACACTACTCCACGAAATACCATCCCAGAACATCATGAACGGTGAGGAACCATCATCGGTGCTGAAGGCCGAGATAAGTCAGATAATGCGCCTATGAGCAGTAACATCGTGCCACTCACCGACCAGCTGCAAAGATGCTGGAAGAGTTGCCATTGTTGACCGCCACTGCCGTAACTGGTCCTGGAATTTCAGCGCTGTTGCCGATCGTGGCCCATGTGGAATTCGCAAAATTATACTGTGCGATATTGGTGGTCGATCCACCCAATGTGATAGATCCAGCAGCAATCAAGGTTTCTTGGTTGTTCTACCAAAACCCAGTCAATAACATACCAGCCAAGACCATAGGAACGGTACTTACTCCTGCATATGAGACAGACGAAATATCTCCTTGAATACCACTCCCAAGCAGGCTCCATTGATTCAAGGTGGTGTCAAATAGACAGATCGCTTGGCAAGACACAGAACCAGCCTGCGCGAACGAACCAGCGACAATGACAGCGTCGGACTTATACATTGACGACGTTATCGAGCGAACGACGACCGAAGATCCTGCAGAGGGTTGCAATGGTTGCATGGATGATGTATCCCACTGTTGAGCAGATAGATCATAAAGAGCCAATCCACTCGCCGAGGTTCCGGTGAGGTTGAATTCACCGCCAACGAAAAGCTGTTGCTTCTGATCAACATAGACTGCACGAACGACACCATTGATCTGAGCGCCAGCGAGCGCAGATATTGAAGACGTAACAGGATCATAAATGGCAACGGCGGATGAAGTCGTAGAGGAGGAAGAAAATGAAAAGTTGCCTCCAATTATGGCTACCTGGTGGGAAGTGGAAACATTCGTCCAGAATGCCCCAGCAAGGACAGCGGGAGCAGGAGCGGGCGGGGAGGGCGGCAGGGCGCTTGAAGTTGCGCTCTGGCGAGTAAACAAGGTTCCAATATTGAGGTGAGATATCCATGCAGATGGTCCGCGACGGACGTGGGAATGACGCTTCGTTACGGTGGTCGGGGAAGATACATTCGCAACGCTGCTGGTAAGCTGGATACCCATAGGTGTCACCAGAGGGCCTGCGCTTCCACCACTGGACAACATCACAAGGCCGCTGGAACCGTACTCTGCCATAGTACGCACATTGCCCGTGACGAACTGTGTTTGCTTCTGACCCGAAGCAGGTAAAGTACCGTTACCGATGAACGTCATGTTGCCCACTACAAATCCACCACTATTCACCCACGAACCGGTGCTAACATTCCAGGTGGCTAATCCACCAGCGGGAACACCAGCAGCCGACGAATTAAGGGTCTCGGTGAAATTGCCTGCAACCACGATTTGCCCATTGGCAAGCGCAAGACTATTGACCACACCATTGACCCCTGCGCCCATGGCCTTCCATGAATTCGAGCTGATGTCGTAGATAGCAACGCCATTGAGTTTGCCCTGGGTGGAAGCTGTGTTGGTGTCCGTAAAAGAGCCGCCAACGTAGAGCTCGTTGCCGCTCAACACGAAAGAGGTCACAGGTCCATTCAGACCATTATTAGGAGGGGAAATGAACGATCCACTCTTGAATGCAACGATGTTTGAGACACCGCTTGTCGAGCCGGAGATAAGCTGGAAATTGCCACCAAGGTAAACAGTGCCAGAGGGGTGCTGTGCGACAGCTGTAACGGACGTAGTGGTAGAAGTCGTAGCTCCCAGGGCGTTATAGAGATCAATGGATATCATGTTCAAAGAAGTCTCACTTGTGTTGGGAATAGTTCCGGTAGCATCAATGCTCGCACTGGAGCTCAATGGCCAGTCAAAGAAACCGAAACCATGCTGTGAACTGCTAGTTGCGTTGGACCCAGACGACCCAGACCCAGCAGCGGATGTCACGCTGGCTGACGTCAACACCAATGCAACATCACCGGCGACGAGTTCGTACTGCCCATCCTGACCAGTCCCTTCAGGGTTGTTTGCAAGCGTCATGGATACGGTGGTCACAAAGTCTGTGGATGAGGGGATGATAGGACCACTGTAGACAAGTGTGGTCGTATCGGACTGGACCTGCTGTGAAACAGTAGAAACCCAGGGTTGACTTCCGCCGCCCGGAAAGACGGTGACTTGGACAGATGTACGGAGGGGGCAATCCTGGAAGTCTGTACAACCCGGAATGACAAGGTATACGTCATACTGGCCAGACGCAGAGACGTAGGGCTGCCAGGTAAAACTGGGAGCCTGAGAGGGGGATGTGCCAACAGCTACTGTGGTGACTAGGACGGTTTGGAGTGTTGCGGGGATATTGGTGACAGCATCTTTCGTGGTCCACTGGCCTGTACTAGTGGTGTTGGATGGATTAGGTGAAAAGCAGGATTTCATATTCCCGTTGCTAGATGCAAATGCGCCAGAGGACAGCAGCTGTAACATGTGCAAACCGGGAGCTTCACCCGTCCAACCCGACAGAGTGATCTGTATACCAGTCAACGTCACCGGAGCGGTGAAAATGAAGTCCTGGTATAAGATTGATGAGTCGGTCGACAGAGGACAGGTAGTTGTGCATGTCATGTTTTGTCCAGTTGATGGGTTGACATATGACAAAGTCTGTACTGTATTGTCTGGAATGGATGTGACACTGACAAACGCAAAATGAGATCACAAATTATCTATCGAAAAGCACATACCTAAAAGTCGTCGTGCCAAATCCACTCTGGAACGTGTTGCCAAGGCGAACACCGTAGGCATTGATAGACGAGAAGTCACGAACAGTAATTACAGCGCCATTTCCGTTCGCAGCCAACCACGTGTTGCCAGGTCCATCCGGACCAGCAGGACACAGGATATTCGAAATGTTGCTGAATTGAGGGTCAGATGATGATGGTTGTCCCAATATTTCCGCGCCTTCAAGAGGAACGGGGACAAGTGATGAAGAGAACGGCGTAGCCCCAGGAGAATAAGGAATATTAGGATTGTTGGTGTTATTTAATGCAGTGGCATTCGCGGCGAAGGAAGTGAGGAATGAGCCGGCAAAGAAAAGGCTATTTTCTGAAGCGTTAGAAGTGATGGAAAAGACTTCTCCGCCATCACCTATAAAACCTTTGAATGGGGGTGCGGACCAAGAGTTGGACTTGGTGTTCCATATAGCTACAGATGAACCGGGTGATGTGAAGTAGCCACCCACCCACAGCTGGCTGGTGGATACATCGCAGTAAAGCGAGTATATTGGACCGTTAGGACCATTTGAGCCGAGCGCAGCAAATACGCCAGAAGAAGGCGTGTATGATGCGATGTTGCTAGCGGACACGGATGTATTGCCAATAGATGAGAAGGATCCGGCGAAGTAGAAGATATCATTGATAGCGCAACCTGATTGAATTGAGCCGCCTGCATTCGTAGTGCCAAGCGTAGTTAGGGCGCCTTCGCCGGTGCGAGCGAGTAAAGAAGACACAGAAGGGTCAAATGTGACAGCAGTAGCATTGTTGAACAGACTGAGACCCGCAAATGCACCTGCAAGGCCTACTTGACCCATACGACTGAAATCGACCATTGGTAGTGACGCGAACGCGGGATTAGCGAGAAGAGTTGCGAGGAAGAATGTCAAGGGCCATCGTATCGAATTTGATGACTGCGAATGCATTTTGAGTATCAGTAGTCCCCACGGTAACGTTCCAGGGTGTATAAACCCTGATGGAACCTAGAGTCCTCTACAGAAAACCAGAGTTTAAGTATCAGCCCAACGACGTTGAAAGGAAAGACGGTTTGAAACTTTGAATCTTCCCATCAAAACGCGTTCCAATAAACCAACACGTCCACGTGGACCAGGTCATGGACCTAGGCGGTGCACCACACTTTTGACTGGACTTTATAATTGCCTTGACTGCCTCACGAAGTCCTCACACAGACCGTTAAATTAGAAACTTGCAGCTCATTTCCGAGTCTGTGCACCCATCTCCGAACCGGAAGAAGTGTATCAAGAAAATTTTACATAGCAATCGAGAGGATCAACTAAACCCGAGCACAGCAGTGCCCACTTCTACTACTCCTCATCCAGATCTAGCAGTAGTTGAACTCATGTCGGCAACGCGTCCCGACTGGCTGTAGGTGAGGAGAGCCTGTATCTAGAATTCTATTTGATTGTGATCCGGCACAACGTCAGTCGTATACTATGGCGCATGTCCAATCAAAGTCGCTCACTGAGGATATCTATAGCGGTGCACGTTTGGCCTCTTTGCATCGGCCTGCAAAATAGTATTGTCGGAAGTTTGTTGTGACAGCAACAAGTGTTTCTCATTGATAGCTGCCCAGATTTCACTCGGCGTCATGTACTGAGCAAGCCACCGAGTCAGATATACGTCTTGGTTTGGCGACGGTGCCCATTTGTAAAATCCGACTGCCAGCAGAGAAAGCAGGACTGTGTTGCGCCAGAAAGGTGTGGAGAACCCAGCTAATTAGAATGCGCAAATGAGTTGTGACTTTGTTTACGGATACGACCGGAATAGCATACCTTCGCGTGAATAATGGGTGTCATTATGGTGCTCATCATGAGCATGACTATCGTGCGATGCGAATCTCCGCTGAATGAGCGAAACACTCCCGACTGTGTGCTTTTGGCGCAAAAGCAGGCTCGCTCTCGCCAGCGACATTGTGGTTATGGATAGAGTTGCTCGTGCCGCCTCGGCAATTTACTTGCGGACTTGGAAGTTCGGATCAGGCTGTTCATGCACAATTGCGTGTTTCATGCTTCTACAAGTATTTTCGGCTCTTACTCGTGCTGATTTATTATCGTTGATCGTTAATACTATTCATTCGACCTCGAACAACCCTTATTCTACCAGAGTATGCAATTACTTTCTAGCAGAAAAATCAACTAAATTTGTTGTAGGACTCGCACATAACCAGACCATGCTAAGACGTGTACTACCACGCTTGCCGCTTTTCCGAGTATCTGCACCCATACTTCCAATATCATCGCGGTTAAGTGCTCGCCCAGTACCCGCAATGTCCCTGACCGGCTCTCCTCGTTTGTCGAGCCCGAGGTTGTTTCACCACGTCCCTGCTCGTCTTACGTCAACTCCACCACCTCAAAACGATCCAGCATCACAGTTACCTCCAGACGCTACCCTCTCTCAAAGGCTAAAACACCTCATCAAATCTTATGGATGGTATGCCCTTGGAGTGTATATCGTCCTCTCTACACTGGACTTCACCGTCGCGTTTGCTGGAATTAACTTGTTGGGTGCCGAGCAGGTCGCATCTGCCGCTGCCTACATTAAAGAGATCGCCATCGGGTTCATCCATACCAAACCACCAGAGCCTGGGCGGGACGAAATGGATGGCATTTCCGCGGGAGATGCGAGCCGCGAGGGCTTGTATGCCACCTTGGTATTGGCTTATACCATCCACAAAACGCTATTTTTGCCTGTCAGAGTTGGTTTGACAGCCGTTTTAACTCCCAGATTGGTGGGGTGGTTGCGTACAAGAGGGTGGGCAGGTAGTGAGGGCGCGAGGAAAGCAGCTCGCGACATGAGGGACAGGATCCAAAGAAAGGATTAAAATTAGCCGATCGGCGGATCTGGGTGAGAGGCAGACTGCAACGTCATTTTATTCACACTACTCAGACCATAATTACATACTACTTGCACGGCAATCATGGCCCCCTTCATTGCCAATGGCGCTAATTTCAAACCAGAACTATATTCGTACACAGCCAATTCGCAACCTATCTTTGAAGGGGCGTCAGGCAGACACCTAATGGCTCATTCAAAACAGGCATTCAACAACTAACTCATCTGGGCAGTAGTTAAATGACACGTGTTGTCTTGTGGGGCGATTATTGACTTGAGGTAGCCGGCCGGAGGTGCGACGTACACTCACGCTTAATCAAGTCGGTTCGCATCGTAAGGTTAACTGCATATTCGGTCGGCTGCGAGAAAGAAGTGTGTCACGAAGTCTACGGGGGGTCGTACTCCAAACGGAAGGGTGGAGACCACGTATTCCGAGAACAAGCACTGCATCAGCCGCGCTCACTCTAAAATGAATTCCAGTTGTTCCCGAGGGTGAGGAAGAGACATTGGAGGATCTTTACTAGCAGCGAGGACGCTGGTGCCGAGAGGCTATTCTCAGATTCTCAAGGACTGCAGGCCTATGTTTTTAAGCTGTCGTATCTCCTATGTGTTGCATTGTATTATCTCTGCTAAGGTCGTGATAGGTGAGCAAATCCGAACGCAAGACCTTGTAATATTACTCAAATTTAAACCGAAGAACCTAACGATATTGGTTACAGGACCCCTCGCAGACACGGCTTGTCTTTAGTTAACAGGCTAAGGTCGGTGCATGACGCATGACCTTCCCTATAGAATCCAATCGCTGTCAAGCTGCGAATCGGTGGAGGAAGCTGTAGGGATTAATTACTTTATGTCTGAGGTCTGCTAGTAGGACAGCGAGAAGTTACGTGGCACTGTCTCAAACTGTTACTTACTAAGTGATATTGACTGCAAATTATTCCATTCAACGAGCCCGTCTGGAGATATCCGACGGGGGGAACAATTTCTGCCAAGGACGATGAATTTGGCACTTATATTGAGGGAGAGAGCACCGAGTAGGAAAGATCCTAGTCGGAGCCCGGATCAGATAAGAAATCGTACATAAGATCGTTAGTAACTGACTCGATTGAATGGAAAATGCCGAACACCGAATACTGAGCTTAAGTCCAAAGCTTTAAAAGATTTTCTTTAGCTTACTTGTCCCCAATCCACTCCTGATGCAACTCGATAGCTTAAAGCACCCAAGATCCTGCAACCGTTTCTTCTCCCTTCCTGAAATCGATGGCCGTTGGTGACTACCACCTTCCATACACATCGACGCCTTTTGAAGGCCCAGAGAAATTACTGGAAATCTGGTTCGCTCCTTCCCCTGCTTGTGTGCCAGATGCACATGCACCAAAAAATGGCCGTATAGGCCTGAGGAATGTTCCAAAGCAAGTCTGGGAGGACATGCTGGACATCGTCAAATGCAAGGTCCTCAGTGTTATTGAGGGCGAAGAAACTGATGCTTATCTTTTGAGGTATGTGAATTGGTCATCGCCCGCTTTTTTATTTCTTGTATGGCTAGAAGAGCCCTTAATTTAATACTTTTTCACAGTTGAAGATCGTTATCGCTCATTTTCTTCAATTTAGCGAATCGTCTCTGTTTGTGTTCTCACATCGCATTATCCTGAAGACATGCGGCACAACATTAAACCTCCTCGGCCTTCCGCGCATCCTCGAGATCGCGCATAAATTTGCCTCACTTCCATCGGTTTATCGATGCTTCTACTCACGTAAATCCTTCATGTTTCCTGAGCGCCAACTCGGTCCGCATCGAGAATGGAAGGACGAAGTGTCATTCCTTGACGCCATATTTCCAAATGGAGCTGCTTACACTGTAGGCAAAGTCAATGGAGACCATTGGCTGCTTTACTTAACGACCCCTGGACAATATGGCGCGAATGGGGAAACTACTCCAAGTTCTCCAAATTCCTTTTCATTGTCACCTCTTCAGTCCGAGAATGGGGAGGAGAATGAGATTAACCAGACCCTTCAAAATGTTGAAACCGACACTCCATTCACTCAAGATTACACAATTGAGATCCTCATGAGTAACCTGTCTCATAAGGCTCGCGAGTCCTTCTTCTTAGCTCCTCCAGTACAAGATGCCCCATCGGAGTCTCCGTCGGTCATTGGGAGGACTGTGTCCTCTACCATTGGGATTTCAGATCTTTTCCCACCTCACCTTACTACATTGGATGCTTATGCGTTCGACCCTTGTGGTTACTCCTCGAACGCTCTCTTGAAATGGGGCGACGGAATTGAGGATGGCCACAGCGGGGAGGGCTACTATACAATCCATGTGACTCCTGAAGAAGGCTGGTCATATGCCAGCTTCGAGTGCAACGTGCCACTGTCCACTTCTTCGTCTTCTTCGGCCAAAAATATCCCCGATTTACATACGCTGATCAGACGCGTCGTCGACATCTTTCAGCCAGGAAGACTCAGCCTGACCCTTTTCATATCCAACGCCAACAACAATGCCGAGGAGGACGAGGGCGAGACTGCTGTTGAAGTCGCTCAGCGGACTTTCAAGTCTGCTCTGACAGCTCAACGCCCTGTGTCATGTTCTTCTGGTGATTCGGTAACGGGTGATGGAAGTGAACAAAATGATCGCATGTTGTACAAGAGAACGGACAAGATTAATTATCAATTTGGTGGTTACAATCTTGCGTTTGCGAGTTTCGAGCTTCGATGAAGATGTCATTTCGGTGGTGTTAGGTTGTACGCTGAAGATATCTTTCTTATCTAGATGCGCTCGTACTTGCCTGTCAATCTACTTTTTGCTACCTTCGTTTCCGCTATACGACCCAGATTTCGGATTACCGTTTGTCGACCTTGTACACATGATGGTGTTGAACATCATTACCTGGATTGTTATGAACTGTCAGGTGCACAATTCTCGATTCACAAGGTCAGGGCATATTCAGGGCATAAGCTTTGAAGGTTCCTGGTGTCTGATATAATAGATCTAATTCCTAATGCTGTCCTAATGCGTATTTGGTTATCGGCAATGTCCGTATACCGAAGCGCGATATCATGGGATATTGCTCATGCCCATGGGAGATCCAAGATAGATTTGGAGAACAAAACACCACGGTTGCTGGATGTTAAGCGTTCCGCTGCACACCACCAGTATGTAAGTGTCAGAACAAAGTTCTTTATTGCTCACGTTTTTAATCGACAGAACCCAAGTGCAGTTTGGGAGGCCGTTTGTGGCATGAGAAATTTCATTTCCATCTATACGACAAGCATATGCTCTCATACTTCACTGGGGGTCCGCATAAGTTTGTGGTCTCGAAATGACGCACTATACTAGGGAGGGTGACCGGCGTGGCCCTGGGCCAATTAGCGTCTATGCATTTTGGACTAATCTGGCTACTATTCGTGGATGGGTGATAATACCGCGCTAGCAGCCATCGTGTGCTGAAGTCGGCGGGCCGAGGCCTATTGCCTCTTAGGTTTCCCAGTTCTGGATTATCCGTCGTTGAGTTCCTAATATTTTCGACCGAGGAGGACGTCGAGATATTCTCGTGACCAACTGTCTTCGGGTTTGAATCCATTGCCACATGCCCCAACCTCAGGAGTATCAGAAGCATCAATCTGCATATAAATTCATCCAAAAAATTTAGCTTCAATGTCCCAAATTCCCGCTCCTGCTTAAGCGGCAGCACTTCACACCAGCGATGGTTTACAATATGGTCAACCTTCAAGCGGCCACGTCCACAGAAAATCTCCGGGCTCTTGAGGAAGTCAAGGATTTCTATACGACAGATCTCGGACGGGGGGGTAAGGAACGGTGGACCTATCACATGCTGCCAGAGGCCGCACTTGATGTTGAGCTGCATCGCATGTCCAATGCGACCTCATCAACATCTGTAGACAGCGTCACTTTTCAGCCATGTGCGGCTTATGCCGATCTCAATCAAGACCGGTACAGCATTGAGGAGTGGGAGCTCCCTGGCGGAGTTTGGCAATTCACGGCAATCTATGATGGTGCTCTAGATTCTTTATGAACGTCATACGTAACCCCTTGCAGAGCTAACGGCTGAATTTTTGTAGGTCATTGTGGCCATGACACTGTAAATTATGTCCACAAGCAGCTTCCCTCGATGGTCAGGACATCACTGCAAGCTCTTCTTCAGAGCGCACCTACTACATCCCTGAAGCCAGAATTCGTCTCGGAGGTACTGTGTAGTGCAGTCAGGCACCTAGACCAGTCTATTCGTTCAGACCTTTTGAACTTCTTACCCCACGATCACCTTACAAAAATGAGCGACGTCCAAGTCAACCAACATGTCTCACATCGTTATTCTGAATGGAATGTTATATCAACACGTTGCACTCAAGGCTCAACGGTACTTTTGGCTTTATCCGACCCACTGAAGAAAAATGTATGGATTCTCAATCTGGGAGATTCCATCGCGGGTAAGTGCAGCCCTTATCATCTCATATCTCCTTCCTGACATTATCACAGTTCTCGGCAGCAGATCATTGCCATCTGGGAAATGGTCCGCGATGATCGTCAATTCTGTACATAATTGTAACAATCCCTCGGAAAGTCAGCGTATACAACAAGAGCATCCATCAGAGCAAGCTTGTGTGTGTGACAACAGAGTACTCGGATATCTGGCTCCGACTCGAGGTATTTCTTTAATTGAGATATTTTGCATGGCATATCCTAATCCTGAGACTCTGTGCTAGCGTTAGGGGATACATGGCTCAAGGTTCCTTCGGTTTACACTCGCCGCGTTTTTGCGTCGCACTTGCAAGACTGGTTACCGCCGCGTCAGGCAGCACAGTATGCCAGTCGTATTCTTACTCCTCCATATATATCCAACCTCCCTGAGGTCTACCACCACTCCCTTGACGTCTCTCAACACGAAATACTCCTTATCCTGTCATCTGATGGCTTACAGGACTTGTATGACAATCGCGATACTCAATTATCGGACCAAGAAATGGCGGACCGCTGGGTGGGTTTGGTCGGACATCACATGCACTCCACCACAGACATGGATTTACAAAGCAATTTAGCACTCAGGCTCCTGCGGGATGCTGTTGGTGGAGATAACACAGCGCTTGTTTCCCGAAATCTCACCTTGGAAATGGAAGATAAATGGATGGACGATATTACGATTCTAGTGCAGCGATTCCGGTAGATATATTCGGGATAGTGTACCTGGCAGTATGTTACAGTATGTACGTATTTATTCTAGACCTACGATAGAGACTTAATCATCCATTATCCACGGTTTAAATTTCCAAAAATGTGATCCACTATGCCATGCTTGCTAACAAGTACTGTGCAGTTTCCTTAAGATATACTTCCCAGTCATCGTGATACACGCGTGAATGTCAACCTTAGACATCATCTTGTATCCATATCGACGACAATCACTGGCTAATCCGATCCGTGTCGTATGGGGGATAAGCAGGCTCGAGTTTCACACTGGGAGCCGACTTGCTCCGCAGGTTGCACAAGGGACACAGACGAATGAACATTTCGACCATCGGCCAGGTTATAGTAGCCTATAGAGTGTTGGATAAATCGATAGTCAAAATAAAAGAACACATACCATTCCCATACGCCTTGCCTCAAAGAGCATCGAAGAAGATGAGCCATGAGCTCGATGGGCGTAAACAAGGATATCGTAGATCTGGGTTTGTACGGGGATGCGTTCGAAAGCTCTTGTCCACTCAAAACCACCGAAATCGTGATCAACAGCATCAACTTTTGAAGAAGTCTTTCCGCAGTTGTCTATGTGTCCAATATAGTCTTTCCTCAGTTCCTCTTCTTCTGCTGCCTCGAGGTGGAAAAAAGAGTCCCGTGGTATTAGGAGAAGGTGATATTTCTCAGATCCCAGTCGTACATGATGAATTGTTACCCATATGCGTAGCCGATCCGAAAGACCGTCCAAGCTGCCTTTCGACAACGCATGCGACGTGGCGGCGTAAATATTTGGTGAAAAGGCAGCAGTTTCACGAAGGTCCTGCGGCAAATCGTGGAGGAACTGTGCAAGGCTATCCTCGAAGGACTCTCGACTGGGCATCTCAACAGAATTGACGTTACCGATCCGCTTGGAAACCACGTCAGGCAAAGGCGCAAACGACGGATGTATCCAGGATTCAACGAGGGACTTCGTGACTACCGTTTCTTGGTCAGAAGGAAAGGAATGCGAAATGAACGAGATTGAGTTATTAGGCTGGGTGCGTGGAATATTTTTTCGAGGCCCTGAGCTAGAAGTGGAGGGCCATCCTTGGCCATGGTAGTCAGGAGTGAATCGACCAAAATGCGAATGGAGTGAAGCTTCACCCTCTTGGGAGCCACCCCTAACATGTGACGTGGATGAATCAGATGCTCCACAACTCCGCGATGACGACGCCACGTTCTGTCCATAAAAACTATGGCCATCTCTAGACTCATTGGGACCATTGTGCGCGAAGGCGGTGTGTTCCTCTGGTGATGGCACGTCAGAGACGAGGAAAGATGCCGTCTTAGCGCCATAGGGAGCTATCTGCTTGTCTCGCGTTATACCATGATCGGATGGAACTTTATGCCTCTTCTTAGGAGTATAGTTGCATTCAGTAGCACTCTCTTCTTCCGCGCAATGGTTGCAAACCGGCAAGTTACGGTCACACTTGTTCCGAAAGGGAAATAAGGTGCACACACTTATTTGATCAAAGCATAAACATACCTTCATATTTCTGAGACGACAGCGATCACACCGCGGGATTCCTCGGTGAGCAGGTGTTGGTAAAGGAGTATATTCGCAGTCCCTCCCGTTCGCATATGAGCAATGATTGCAAGTTGGAAGAACCCTATCACACTACCCGGCTGTTAGCGATTTTTGGAGAGGCCAGCAGCAAGCTGGGACACACCTTCAAGTTATTCACCCGGCAGCGATCACACCGTGGCTTCCCTCTGCGTCCTTTCCATTGCGACTGACGAGCCATGAACATTTTAGGATTGGGAATCCGGATGGTCAGTTGTCCATCATCGTTCAAATCTTCAACAGAGTCTGTTCCATCGGGTGATTCAGACATGCTGTGTGGGGGTGCTTTACTAGCTACAAGCCCCCAAAAATACGGAGCAAAATTCTGGACAAAAAAATCTGTATCCTAGGAAGCAATGGATGCTAAAGGTTGGTGGGGTTGCAGCTAGTAAACGACTAGATGAGGCGAGAACAGAATAAGGAAAGAACATACGTACAATAAACCCAAGAGGTGCGAAAGCTGCGAGGGCCTACAATATTCACAATATTCCGTGTGAGCTCCAGAGACGGTGGTAAAACTGAAAAATAGTGATGGTTTTAAATCATCCAACACTTTGTGCGATCTGACTGAGTGGCCAGCTGTTTGTAGGTAGTCTCATGCAAAGAACGATCCAGCCTTCACCGAAACCTGAACTTACTTGCGTATGTGACACTTGTTGTCACGCTACTTTTTAGGTCAAGGTGGTTTGAAAATCAAACAGGTCAGCAAAGTTATTAATTTTCCGGACATGATTGAGTCAGTCTTTTATCTCTGTAATCGTTTTCATGTCATAAAAATATGTCAATCTAAAGGCACTACAGTGGTGGTAGCCATGAGTATAGAGCTCGAAGTCCCTGGTAGATCAGTAGCTGAATGGCGGAGGCTACGCGGACTTTGGTCGTGAACAAGTGTTTAGCGCCAGTGTGTCGTACGGCGATGCACTGGCTACTTTCCTCGACGATGATCTGTCTTGTAGATGTTTTAGCTCAGCGCTCAGCGCTCAGTACTCAGTCCCAGCCTAGAATAACTCGAGCTTCGACTTGGCCTTGAGCTCAAGACTGCGATAACATATTTCCATATTTGGAATCTGTAGTTAGAAATTCAAACGTTCATTCCCTGACGCCGACTGCTTCTTGGAAGTCCTTTTTTGTGAGCTTTCCATATCCATATCACAGAGCGCTTTGATAGTGTCCAGTCTCTTGCCTGCCTTGGTGTCAATGGTCCAGTTATGAGGGCTTGTCTTCACAAGATTGCCTCAATTGATGTTGTGCTTACATTCGTGGATTCTACATCCTATCAAATACTCAACACTAGCTCCAAAGTTTAAATGCCCTTCTTCAGCACAGGTACGTGGTGTTCGGCCCAGGGTTGGCCCAGGTCTCGATCTCCTCCCCACGAGCTTCTTGGCCGCATCCTGCGGCATCAAAGCCGCGGCCCATCTGTCTGTCGGACTTCGGTCGTCCTGGTAAGGTCATGATTATGTGATATGTACTGAACAAATGCTTAGATTTGATTTTGGATCCATTGAAATAAATGCACGTGTGTGCGAAAACCATTCGTGTACAAATGAAACGGTTGCCTTATAGCTGTGCCAATAGCACTGTGGTTTAGTACAATTGCAGAACCGGCTGCATTTGTTGCCTAACCTAGCCTGAGTGCGTGCTACTTCCGCATGTCATTCCCACCTTCGAGCTAGCGCGTATAAAATCAATGAGGTGTGTCATGCTAGGTTATATGCCTTCCCTCTTGGTCCGCGCATAAGAATCGACGTTGTTCATCATACACCAACAAGATGCATCTTATGAATGCTTTACTTGATTTTATGACACCATATCTAGCATTGATTCTGGTGCCATCACCCTGGATGGACAAGCGGGGTGGTGTAGCTTATTATAACCTGACTGCCGGAGGCGGATCGATGCTCATCAATGCTGGTGATGGATACGGTGAACCTATGAATGTATTTCTCTTCCATCACCGTGACGCCCTCGCATATATAGCCTGACTGACCCCCAAACTTTAGGTCATCATCTCTGGACTTAGCTCTTCCGCTGTTCTCACACTTGATGGAGCTATCAATTTTGCCCGCGCGATTGGATTGTAAGCATAGAAAGTATTGTGAACTGCGTCTTACTTATTTGCTCGTGATAATTCTGAAGAATGTTTCGGCATTCACTTAGGTGGTTATATGTCTGCCGACTTGGGAGATGGAAATGGATGGGTCAATCAAACCATTGAACTTCGCCAGGACTATGGAAAACCAGGAGGCGGAACTTGTCTCGAGAGCCTCGTCGGAGGAAATCGTTTTCGGTAAATCTATTGACTAGTAATCCAGGGTGATGATAATATTCGTCCAGTATTTTCGTACAAAACGGCACTGCGGCGGACAGTGGAGCTCTCTTCCTAGCGTAAGCATCCTTAATTTGTCTATTGTTCTACTAGTAACTTACTTGATGTGCCAGCGTGTCTCGAGAAGAGGTTTTGTGATTCGACAGGGTTTTGTTGCACAGCTGAACGCCACCCTTAGCCCTTACCAGAACATCATGATATCGTGCCAGATGGGTACGATATTGGCCGGTAAGTAACTCAGTGGTTGTAACGAACGGGTCACCAATCCAGTTTCAGCAACCAGCTGGTGTCGGCTGCGGTTGGTGAAACATGGTTTCATGGAGTCAAATACAATACCACCGCCCAAAACATCACTGGTCTCCTTGCAGCTGGCGCTGATGGTATTAACCATGGTGAGCCTGATCGGTTAAGTAGTTGCTCGTCTGACATCAGGGTCACTGTCAGGCATCGCTCAAGATGGTATTGTCATGTTGTTGACTGTTACGATTAATTGAGAATTATATCACTTTTTCCTTTCCTTTGAAATTTCCCGATTTATTACTCATCTCACTGTCGAGCACTGACAAGAGAAAATCCAGAGTGATGTTACAAGTGCACAAATTAATAGGGGGGTTCGGAGTTGTGTTGGCGAGGCGTTTTTCGCCCGTTTTTCAGAAAAGTTTTGGGGTTTGAAAAACTTTGAAAAATGTCGGTCGACTGTGATGACCCCGTTGCTCAGCAAATTTGTTGCATCTCTGCTGAGTCTGCCGACACGGCAACAAACATTATATAATCCATGCAGGTGGCTGTGGTGACAGCGGGGTTGAGTTAGATTTATTGTACCACTTCACCATGGCTAGGGCTGGCCACCATAGGCCATATTACGGGGCTGTATGGTGACATAATACGGGTACTGTACCTGTACCATTGGGGCTTTAGAGCTCTCATTGACAGTTATGGTGTATGGTCATTCGAGTACCATATGACACTGTAAGTTTATGGCCATATGTACTGTCATACAGGACATACAGTTCTACTTAGATCTGTTACTGGTGACAACCACAACCTAGCAATAACCTCAATTCTAGTCAATTACTTTCTTGACCTGATCTTTCAAATCATTTGTACCTACTTGAGCTCAATACTAAATCCTGAGGACATACTATGCAAATCTGCAATCAATCAAGCTTTAACATTTTCTGTGTCACCCAGAAGATACATTCTGCCAGTGGTGTTCTGATCCTCATCCCAATCCTAGGAGGGCAATGATAAGGACTAGTAGTCAAGGTACATACTGGCATTGTCTCCCTCCACTAATTGTTTGCTTTCAAGTTCCTCCCTTCCAGACCTCATATTATTGCTCAATGGCTTCAAACACTACCAGTGCATTGTTGATGATACTAGATTCACATGTTGCTATGTCACCAGACTTGCTGGAGGATTACCCTCTGAGCTCTCTTCCTTTCCTTTCTCGCTCTATTATCACATCTTGCACCTTCCACACCACATGTTGTCTCTACCAGTATTGTTGTCACTGGTAGCTTCTTTCCTGGTTCTTTCCATCTTGGACATCTTGACATCCAATACTTAATGTTTGTTCAAACAATACCTCTACCTCAGTATTGCTTATCATATCCCACTGAGGTACAGTGGCTCAAAAAACTGTCCACATGTTTTTGCATTTTTTACTATTTACAATATTGTGAGAATACGTAAAGACCTCAGTGACATGCTGATACCATATTGTAGTGCTGCTTCAGGGCTTTGGATTGAGCACCACATTGTGAGAATCAGAGGAGATATGGTAGAGGTACAAGGCTTACAAAATCATGACTCATGCGGACAGTTTTTTGAGCACATATTAAAACTATATAAATCATCATTTATGACACCATAACAATCATGCCACCATTAAATAAATTATAAAGTGGTGTCATTATGTCATTTTAAAACCATATCTAACTATACAAACCAAAAATTTCCATGTCATGGTTATATTCACCATGAAAGCCACCCCCCTGCTCAAAGGGATAATATCCTCTCTCTTTCCTATTCTGGCCTCTCTGCTTGTCAAATTTCCTCTAGAACTGGAGTATCCAAGTCCACTGTGGCCAAGTTCATCAAAGAAAGTCACAAAGACAAGGAAAACTTCTGTGAAGGGTGTCCATCCAAGCTCACCTCTACTGATAGGAGGGCTATTATTCAACATATCACTACAGGAAAGGCTGATAATGCTGTCCAGGTCACCTATTACATCAATTCCACCATCATATTCCCTGTCTCTTCACACACTGTGAGAAACATTCTCAAGACAGCTCATCTCAGGTCAGTAACAAGGAAGAAAAGGCTCTCCTCTCTATCACACATATGCAGAGAGGACTAGCACCCTTCTTTTTTCACATATATACCTTGCCATCTGACCCAATCCTATTTATTGTGGTCTTATATGATCATATAACATGCTTCCAGTCCATGTAATCCAATTCTGATGGGCTAAGGCAAAGGTTAGTCATCTCTGTTTATGTGTGATAGAGAGGAGAGCCTTTTCTTCCTTGTTACTGACCTGAGATGAGCTGTCTTGAGAATGTTTCTCACAGTGTGTGAAGAGACAGGGAATATGATGGTGGAATTGATGTAATAGGTGACCTGGACAGCATTATCAGCCTTTCCTGTAGTGATATGTTGAATAATAGCCCTCCTATCAGTAGAGGTGAGCTTGGATGGACACCCTTCACAGAAGTTTTCCTTGTCTTTGTGACTTTCTTTGATGAACTTGGCCACAGTGGACTTGGATACTCCAGTTCTAGAGGAAATTTGACAAGCAGAGAGGCCAGAATAGGAAAGAGAGAGGATATTATCCCTTTGAGCAGGGGGGTGGCTTTCATGGTGAATATAACCATGACATGGAAATTTTTGGTTTGTATAGTTAGATATGGTTTTAAAATGACATAATGACACCACTTTATAATTTATTTAATGGTGGCATGATTGTTATGGTGTCATAAATGATGATTTATATAGTTTTAATATGTGCTCAAAAAACTGTCCGCATGAGTCATGATTTTGTAAGCCTTGTACCTCTACCATATCTCCTCTGATTCTCACAATGTGGTGCTCAATCCAAAGCCCTGAAGCAGCACTACAATATGGTATCAGCATGTCACTGAGGTCTTTACGTATTCTCACAATATTGTAAATAGTAAAAAATGTCAAAACATGTGGACAGTTTTTTGAGCCACTGTATGTATGTTATTGTTGCTCATACTTAGTCTTGCTGACATGTATCCTAGACTTTGTCCTAGGTAGACTGAATTCATTAGCATTGATTATCACATCCTGCTGAGACTTTGTCCTAGCTTTGAACATGCATGTGTACCTATCAGAGGTCAAGCCTTTGAAGAGGTTCTGGGTTGAGGGAGACATCCCAAAAATGTTGAGCACATGAATGCTCTTATCTGAGCTGAAGGCAACAACATCAATAGCACTGATCAGCCCTCATGCTGCCAATGCTGTTCTCATCATCTACCAAAAAAAAGAACAGTCGCTGTTGACAACAACAATTCATTTTCATGCCTCCCAGTTGAGGAGGTCTCAGATGCTGATGAAGGTGATTTCACAGTCTCTGATTCTGGCTCTGAGTCATCCTCATCAGGCTCAGGCTTGGAATCTGATATCTGTTCAATCTCCAACAAGGAGGCAAGTTTTTCTAATGACTTACTTTGATTATTTCTAACTGTGTAACAGCTTGCAGCTGTGTTGCCTATGAAGACCATCCCACTTTGTGGTGGTAACACCAATTCCAATGCACACCATCTTCACAACAAAGGCAGCTCAAAGTCTAAGCAAAAGGCTTTAGGAAGTTCTTCAGTTGCTGATGTATGAAAATGAGCTTGTGTTGAGAAGGTTGATGATAATGACACCATTCAACCATTGTCAAGTCAAATCCCTGTTGTGATGAGGTGTGCAAAGGTGATTTTATGACCATCAGTGACTATCCAAGCTGAGTCTTCTCATTTCCAGCCACATGGTGTTTTCTTAGATAGATGATCTATAGATAAACACCTATAAAACCAAATACCTCCACAGTCAGTGATTCAGACAAATACCAATGACTGATAATGTGGTTGTTTGTGGGTAGCTGTTCAGTCATACCTAAGCTATGTTCAGAGTAAGGTGTTCTGTGAGATCAGCAGTATGCAGTCAGTCCAACAATGTATGGACTTGTTAAGGTTGTACTCAAGGCTAAATGGATCCTAAGGGCTTTGGCCTCAGCTCATGCACTGTGCTTCTTACCCAAGTATTGCCCCTTATTTCAGGAAGACAAGACTAATACATCTGGAGGGTTGGATGAGTAGTGTAGTGGGTCCAGATGACTTCCGGATGCAGGATAAGTATTGTAGGCTAATCCAGATGAGTCCAGACTAGAAACTAATGGTAGTGGACTGTTGTAGACAGAGGCAGATATGGATAGACTATAAGAATCAATCCTAAGTCTTGGAGGGTGACAAGAGTAGAGATACTCAGGTCCAGAGGACAGGAATGAGCAGAACTAAGTTGATACTCAAACTGAGGTGTTACAGAGATTTACAGGAGGTTATATACTATAGGTATCTAATGGAATGATCAATCAGCAGGGTCCAAGGCTATGTATGAAGCATATGGATAGTCTATTGGTAAGTAGAAACAGATCACAAATAATGAAACAGAAATGAAGCATAGGTAATGGATCAGTGAGCAGGACGGACATACAGATAACTGAAATACCAGAGTCAGGAGATTACCAAAAGGAGATGAGCACTGGTTGTGGATTCGGATGAGTTGTGGACTGGACCAGATGAGTGGGCAGATTGGATGATGAGATGTTGGAGGGGGATAAGATGTGGATTGGATCTGAGATCTGGATATATGGATATGACAGTATCCCCCCTTTAGGGCTGATCCCTAGAGGCACAAGATCTGATGATCCAGACCAGACAATATGAGGGCAAGAATTGATGGAGAAGCTGATGGGTGGAGTTGGTGAGTTTGGATTTCCACAGATATACGGATGCCAAAGCATCCTAGGCCTTCCTTCCTTTCCCTACTTCATTCACTTATACTAGCTTTGAAATATCATGTTTAGCAACAAATCCAGTGGTCAGAAATCTGCTAAGGAAACTCTTGCAGAACTTCAGCACCAGATGGCACTCATGGAGGCTGCAGCCCAGAGAGAGGAAGAGGAAGAGGAGCAGAGCAGATGTATCAGGAAGTGGAGCGGAAACGTGAGGAGGAGAGAAAGTGAATAGAGCAGTCTGAGCTCTGGGTAGCACAGGAAGAGAAGAGGTGGAGGGCTGAGGTGGCCAGGAGGGTAAGTGATGTTACCTCTATTGGATCTGGAACTTAAGGGATATGCTAGTCTCAGTCTGCTTCCATGTCTAGAGCTCAGGGTACACCCTGCACTTGTTATGTCAATAAGAGCAAGGTGTGCTCCTGGGAGGATGCCAAGTCTACTGTGCTGGTGAGATATTCCTTGTCT